TGGGAACCCCGAAATATTTTAGTGCTCTTTGTTGTTATTAAAATGAACATTCCCCTGCAAACTTAAGCTGTTCTGCTGCCTTCAAAGTTAAAAGTCTCCACTCTAACTTTCCCTGCAGGGGCATGTGAGGGGCTGATAAGGTAAACTCCAAATATATTGTAAAGGACTTGTGACGCATCACTGAGTGCAGAGGATAATTTAAAAATCAAACTCTTTAACGATGACGCAGAAGAGTTTTTGATTGGACTACATTGCATAAGACAAATATTCAGTTTACCGTTACGTCAGGAGGAGGAAGACACAAACAAAATAATTGTTTTGCTGTTAAATCATCTGTATATTTTTTTATGTTAAATAAATGATTCTGTCAGTAACACCTCACTCTTTACCACAGGCTGCTGAATCTCAGGGCTGCTTATCTTTTTCCAAAGTAATCCTCAGTATTTGAAATATCTGCCAGTACACACACACACACACCACACACACAAAGCACAAGCCTTACCTCTCGGTCAGTGTAATCCTCGTGATATGAAATGTTTGTACTTTGTTGGAGCAAAGTCCTATGATGCACTTAAAGAAACTGAATGGATTTAATTTGATTTTTACTCAAACATGAAAAGACGACATGTTAAAGTTCAGCAATTGTTGCAACATATAAAGATAAGATTTTCCAAAACAGTTTTTTTTAAACATTTAATATTTCTGTCTTTGTCTCTAGGAAGCGTAAGAAACTTCTCTCCGATCTGTGGCGTATTTCTGACAAATCATCCCTCGTGAAGTGGCTGCAGTCAAGCTCTTGACGTCTCTGCGACAGCAACCATTATCGTCAGAACACACAAAGACAGAAACCCTGTCAGCGGCGTCTGACAGGCTCAGAGGAGAATTTACATGCCCACACTGAATTTTCACTGATGATGAATGATAATGATGTTTTGCTAAATTGTCAACATGCAAGAAAGCTTTTATGCATCTCAGGTTCTGCTTGTTGCCATCGTATGTACTGTAACCTCACTGTCAAAACTCTATTTTATTGTACCCCAAACGTTTGCTTTCAAAAGCTTTTCCAGCCAAAGAATAAAGAAGACTAAAACAAAACATGAATTATTGTTTGGTCTACATTATGAAAATGTAAAGAAAAATAGCCTGCAATGAAGGTTGAAGCTTTTTTGAATGATGAGTTTAGCTTTGATCCTTCATGACCTTTGGCACAGTTGAGATTGGGCCCTTTATATCTCCATGTTGACAGATTTATTATTTCAATATAACCTGAGTAAGATCTGTAAATGGAATACTCTAGTTTAAATCATTTTGTACTTATATGGATAATTTTTACTTTTGCTTCTGCTGCCCTCCCCTGGGGGGGTACCCCAGGGCTCTATTCTTGGTCCTCTCCTGTTTTCACTTTATCTTCTGCCACTGGATTCTATTTTCAGAAAGCATGGTGTGCAATTTCATTTATATGCAGATGACTGTCAAGTCTACTTCCCTTTGAAACATAATGGCTCCACTCAGTCTCTCCTGGACTGTCTTGATGACAGTAGAGGATGGATGGTACTTAATTTCCTCCATTTTAATGAGAAAAAAAAAAAAGACTGAGGTTATGGTCTTTAAATCCTGTGGTCCTAGCAGTTTCCATTGATTCTTCCTCTTTGGCCCCATATGAAAAATCCATTGTTACAAATTTTGGAGTGAAAATGGACCCCTGCCTGAAACTTGACTGCCATGTCAACAAGGTGGTTAAGTCCTCTTTCTTTCAGCTGAGGCGCCTGTCAAAAATCAAGCCCCTCCTTTCTAGGCACCACTTAGAGACAGTAATCCACGCTTTTATTACTTCACGCCTGGATTATTGTAACTCTCTAGGAGTTAGCCAGGCCTCGCTCTCACTGTTACAACTGGTACAAAATGCTGCAGCACAATTTTTTACTGGTACAGGCAGGCGAGATCGCATCACTCCAGTTCTGATGTCCCTTCACTGGCTTCCTGTCCAGTTTCCAATCCATTTTAAAGTTCTATTGTTTGTTTTTAAGTCTTTGAACGGTCTTAGTCCCTCATTTGTCTGAACTGCTTCACCTTTACATGCCATCACGTGCTCTTAGATCCTCTGACCAGATGCTTTTAGCAGTCCCGAAAACCTTTTATAAATCCAGAGGAGACGGAGCATTTTTTATAAATCCAGAGGAGACGGAGCATTTTCAGCTCTGGCTCCTAAATTGTGGAATGAGCTGCCGCTGGAGATCAGGCAGGCCCCATCAATCTCTGTTTGTAAAACTCATTTAAAAACACATTTATTTTCATTGGCTTTTAACCTAGAGTGAGTTAGCATCTCTGTCTTAATGTTGTATTCTTTCACTTGTGATGTTCTGATTATTTTATATATATATATATATATATATATATATATATATATATCTATATATATTGATTTTATTGTTTTGCTGTATTTTGTTTGTTTTATTTTTGTACAGCACTTCGGACGGCTGCTATGTTGTATTTTAAGTGCTTTAGAAATAAAATTGGTATGGTATGGTATAACACCTGATGGTCAGGGTAGACTTAGATTTTCACAGACTGGTAAACTGACTGGCTGTTTCAGTCAGGACTTGGACGGGACCTAATCTGCAGTCTTAATTATTTAGCACACAAAGATATTTTGGACAATGTAGACTTCCACCTTTCTGAGAACATTTAAAAAACATAATCTATTCCAATATGCCAGTGCACAAAGTAGATATAAATGTTTTTATTTATCCAACATTTTTCAGTCCGGTCATCTGGACAATTTCTTTTTTTTGTGCTGAAACGTTTCGCCTTCAATCCGGAAGGCTTCATCAGTCAAAGAAACGCACAACAAAACTGATTCTTCCTCCAACAGCTTACTCCAAAGTGGAACAAACCAGTTCTGCTTGTGATAAGATGGACTCTTTGGTACGCCCCTCCTCCATTGCCGGCCCTCTTCTTTGTTGACAGTCTTGTCAAACTGGTTGAAAATGACAAAGTCCATGCTCAATAATCCAGGTACAAAAAGTTGTGTGTAAAATGAAGCACCATGCAGACTGTTTTTACAAACATTTGTGAAAGAATGGGTCGCTCTCGGGAGCTCAGTGAATTCCAGCGTGGAACTGATAGGATGCCACCTATGCAACAAATCCAGTCGTGAAATTCCCTCGCTCCTAAATATTCCATAGTCAACTGCCACCTGTATTATAGGAAAATGGAAGTGTTTGGGAATGACAGCAACTCAGCCATGAAGTGGTACGCCACGTAAACTGACGGAGCGGGGTCAGCGGATGCTGAAGCGCATAGTGCGAAGAGGTCGCCATCTTTCTGCAGAGTCAATGACTACAGACCTCCAAACTTCAAATTAGCTCATGAAAAGTGTGCAGAGAGCTTCATGGAATGGGTTTCCATGGTCGAGCAGCTGCATCCAAGCCATACATCACCAAGTGCAATGCAAAGCATCGGATGCAGTGATGTAAAACACACCGCCACTGGACTCTAGAGCAGTGGAGGCGCGTTCTCTGGAGTGACGAATCGCACTTCTCCATCTGGCAATCTGATGGATGAGTCTGGTGGTTGCCAGGAGAAGGGTACTTGTCTGACTGCATTGTGCCAAGTGTAAAGTTTGGTGGAGGGGGGATTAAGGTGGGTGTTGTTTTTCAGGAGCTGGGCTTGGCCCCTTAGTTCCAGTGAAAGGAACTCTGACTGCTTCAGCATACCAAGACATTTTGGACAATCCATGCTCCCAACTTTGTGGGAACAGTTTGGAGCTGGCCCCTTCCTCTTCCAACATGACTGTGCACAAAGCAGGTCCATAAAGACATGGATGGCAGAGTCTGGTGCTGATGAACTTGACTGGCCTGCACAGAGTCCTGACCTCAACCCAATAGAACACCTTTGGGATGAATTAGAGTGGAGACTGAGAGCCAGGCCTTCTCGTCCAACATCAGTATGTGACCTCACAAATGCGCTTCTGGAAGAATGGTCAAAAATCCCATAAACACACTCCTAAGCCCGTGGACAGCCTTTCCAGAAGTGCTGAAGCTGTTCTAGCTGCAAAGGGTGAACCAACGTGGATTAGGAATGGGATGTCACTTAAGCTCATATGTGAGTCAAGGCAGGTGAGCGAATACTTCTGGTAATGTAATGTGTATATATATATATATATATATATATATATATATATATACACACACACACACTAAGTCATAATCTCATATTTCTTTTTAATGGAGGCCTGGGTCTGTGGGAAGCCTAAACGCATGTTTTGGACTGTGGGAAGAAAACTCACACAAACATGAGGAGACCATGCAAACTCCCCACAGAAAGACCCCAGAATCCATCCTTGGGAATGAACCCATGACTTTCTTGCTGTGAGGCAACCACTACTCCATCGTGCTGCCAAAGATGTGGTTTAGTGAGTTTGCTCTGGAATAACTTAATTGGCTGCACAGCATGACCTCAACCTCATTAAGCATTTTTAGGATGAACAAAAATTGTGAATCAGTTCTTCTTGTCCAACATCTGTGCCTGACCTCATAAAAGCCCTGCAGAAGGAATGGGCACAGACCGTAATAAAAACACTCCAAACTCTTAAGCCTTCCAAGAGGAGTGGAAGTTGGGGGACCCCTGGTCTTTATCCTAACTGTGACAGAAGTACATTACTTCTGCTGCTTTAGTTGCAGTTATTTTCCTCATATCAGTCATGTGTCCTGAAATTACGTAATTTGTGAACATTTGTGCACGGCTGCCAGCTACGTGTGTTTGTTTCCCAATGGAAACAGCCGAAGTGACCTAAAGTATGTAAAAAAAAATGATGACCGAAGAGCTGTTAAGGATTTGTTGAGTAATCAGACAAAAGTGATTTGTTTACATTGAATGTGGACCCAGATTTCAAAAGTGGTTTGTTTACATTGAATGTGGACCCAGATTTTAAAATTGCTCAACTTATCTGGAATACTGATGTAAACTTGTTAAACTGCATCATCTCATTTAGTTCAGGATAACCTACTTAATTATAGCTTTTATAGTTCGTGACACATATCTTAAAGTACATAAAATGTATATATTTTTTACATACTTAAGTTTTTTTATTTTACTTATGTTATGAATATATTGAAAGAGTGCCATTAATGTGTGAGAAATATATCAGGTATATAAGGGAAAATAAAGATACAGGTATTTATATTTACTACTTAGCTCTATGATGACTAGTCCTTTGCCAAATATACATTTATTAGTTGCTTTTGTTTTTTCTCAGGTGAGTGGGATGAACTCATTTTGATCCATCGTAGAACAGTTTTTTTTCCCTTTTGATTTGCTCTGTTTCATGGTTGTCTCTGAATATCTCCCTGTTCTCGCTCCGCCTTTATTTCCACCAACTCCAAGATCAGCGCGCATGGCAGGGAGGGAGGAAAATCGAGAGACCTTGTTGAAGAACGTGTTGGAGTGGAGAGAGAGAGTTAACCGCTGTCAAAGCCGATTACAGCGCATCGGCTCTCTGACTCTGTCTCTGTCCACTTCAGGCTCCCCCACCCCTCCCTCTCTGAGGGACTTTTTTTTTTATCTTCTTTGAAATGAATCCTGGCTTTCTGCTGCTGGTTGATGGGGCTGGAGCGCCTTCACCATGACTTTCACAGCAGAGGCGCTTCCGCCAGCTGGGTAACTTTTCCGTGCGCCGCTGACGCGTTCCTCGGGTTGGGGAAAGTTTACGCAGGGGACGACATGCGCTCGCGCTGAGAGCTTTCCCTCTTTCTTCATCTCTCCTCTCAGAGAGCGATAGGGCCGAAAGATGCAGAAGAGTGTCCGCTACAACGAAGGGCACGCGCTGTTCCTGTCGTTCGTCGCGCGTAAAGAGGGCACCAAGCGCGGCTACCTGAGCAAGAAGACGGCGGAGAACAGCCGCTGGCACGAGAAGTTCTTCGCCCTCTACCAGAATATACTGTTCTATTTCGAGAACGAGCAGAGCGCGCGACCTGCTGGGATTTACCTGTTGGAAGGATGCACCTGCGAGCGCACGCCGGCGCCCAAGTTGTCCACAGCCGGGAAGGAGGCGCTGGAGAAACAGGTGAGACGTTTGAAGGAGGTGAAATCACAAATGTTCAGTCTCCTTCACACAGCAGGGCATCTGTGAGTCTGCTCCACACTCATGTCTGTTTTATGTAACTTGTGACTTTTTTTTAATTTTTTTAACTTTATTAATAATAATAATAATAATAATAACAACAACGTTTTTAGTGTGCAGCAGCAAACAGCAGCTCCTCTTAGGGATCATCCACCAAGAAGGTGCAAATGGGAGGAGAATCAAAAAGAGAAATGAATTTAAGTTTTTTTTTTGTTTTTTTTCAAAAATATATGAATGGATGAATGAACAGTTGCCTTTCAGCGCTGCAACTTCCTCCATCTTTGATCCAGCTGCATGGCTGCAGGCCCACTTGTGCCAGATTTTTTTTCCCACAAAAAATATTTAAAAACATCCGTTTTTCCATTGTTGGTTTTATTTAGAGTTGGGCAAAATTAAGCAACAGGTTTGCTACTTTGGAAGAATTTGTTTTCTTCTGTGCAGATGTGCAATAAACTGTAATTTTCCATATTTCAGTCATAATTTTGAAGCAGAAATATTTCATTTATGTTTTATCTTTGTGCTTTAGTTTCCCTGAGTGTTTTTGAGCATTCAGAAGTTGTGCCAAGGGATTAGAGGAAATTTGCTGACTCATGAAATTTTTTATATGTTGCCTTTTCTGAAGTGTTGCACAAAACATTTGAATACATACTGAACATCAGATTTACTTGTATAAAATTCAGTTTGGAGATATTAAAAATATATATATTTGTAGCCATGGCTACAAATATTAATTTATTTACCACCTTTTATTTAATGCTTTTATAAACGTAATGCAGCACACAAACTAGAAGAAAAACACCTGTCTTGTCATTTGAAACATGCAAGTGTTCAGCAGTGCCCGTAAAAACAATATAAAGTCAATTTTATAAAATTTAAAAAAATATTCAGTTTTTGTAAACTATCTTTTAAAATATTGAAACTTTGTTAAATTAAGCGGATAAAGTTGAACAGAAAGTTTCTCCTTTGATGAATTATATGACAGGATTAACGCTTTATTAATGCAGCAATGTTCGTGTTCATGTACACAGCTAGTGATGTAATCACAAAGTTGAGTAGTTGCACCAGAATATGGAAATCTGAAGAGCAAAGCAAATATTACATCATAACCCAATTCAAATCACAATGACAGCTATAACAATGCAGCAGCTAAAAAAAATAAATAAATAAAAATAATAATAATACGAATAAAAAAGCCAGACTTTCAGATAAAGAACATCAAATGCTGAAAAATTAAAGAGATGTGACCTTTTTGGCCAAATCTTAAAAATGACATTCTGGACAATGCCACAAGATGTCACACTCTTAGTGTGTGTTGTGAATGACACTCAGTTACTACCACTCCAAAATATGGCTCAATATTTATAAAATTAACTGTTGTATCAGTTTTGTGTTGTATTGGTCAGTTATGATGGCCATCTTAAACTGGGTTAACAGCAAAATTTAAGATGTACATCCAATGATTACTCGCTGAGAGTTTCATTATAGTCCATCGACTGGTTCACAAGATATTTTGCTAACACATCAACATGTGCAAATACAAAGACATGGGCCAAAACATAACAATCTGCCTTTGCCCTTCAGCGACAAGCGATAAGTACAATTTATCTGCATCAATATGCACTTTAAGCAATCAGCCATGTTGTCTTTTCAGTTCATTCAGTTCCCAGTACTCCGTGGAGAGGTTTGCTGGCACACCTGGAAGCTAAACCTTGTTCAGCTTCAGTTCAGCTGCAGCTCAAAAAAACCCAAAAAAACCAACATATTTTGACTCAATAAATGAATGTAATTTAGCTTGCAGCAGCATTCTCTAGTTAAATCTGACCCATCTTAAACCACAACTCGTAGAAAAACTTGCACCACCTTTGTGAGCTGAAGAGCTTAGTGGATTTTAATAATTTACGCTTATGTAACCTGGATTTTTATTAACAAACGAATAGTCGGATCCTTCTGGGTCAGTTCGTTACTTTAATACTGTGGTATGTGGTGGGTATATTTTAGCTGTAAAAATGTTGTGATCTGAAGGTGTTCACCAGATGCACATTGTTGCATTAAAATGTTGAAATAAACACTTAAGTGTCAAATTTATTGGTGAAAACTTGACCAAGCACCGCTCTATTTCCTCAGCTGGTGTGATCGTTGTCTCAGCCTTATACCCTCACCACTTCATGGTTATCACAGAGAAAACAAGAATATTTCTCTTTCAAGTCCTGGTTTTCAATTGATCTCAGAGACACAAATGTGCACATACCAAGAGAGAGACACCTGTGAGAACTGACATTTTGGAGTTTGAGCAACAAAGCACAGACTGTTTGTGAAATAACTAATGTGAGGTAAAGAGGGGTCGGAAAGAGCATATAGAAATATATATATATAAATATATGCTTTAACTGGCCATGCTTCAAGTTCTAACTTTACAGGTGTTCTGAAACAGTCAGCAAAAAGGGGATGAATTAAATTGTTGCACTGTAAAATAAAGGTTTTACAATGACAAGAAATAGTTTCTGCTCTGAGTTGCTGAGTCACACTGATCCCAGACCTGCTTCAATAAAGCACACAAGTGGGTGAAAATATGGAAGTGACCTTATTTAAAGCAACTGCTTAGATGTGAAATCAAACAAACAAACAAAAAAAAAGTAATGTATAAATGTTATTAAATAGTTACAGTCACATGCCAGGTCTGACATGAAATCTGGTGTACACAGACCCCGAAGTTTGATCTTTAGAAATCAAATCCAAACTTAGTTTCCCCAGCACCCTAAAATCTGCAATCTAAGAGTCACCATCTCATCATTAAACCCAACATGAGTCTGATTTACTGCCTCTGGGTGCATCAACTGCATTTTCTCTGAGTATCCAAAGTTCTGTGAAGTCTCATGTCCAGATACTTTTTTCTGCAAAGATGGCCGACACTTAGCTTGGCCAGCACGCAATCAAATAACATGGTTGGCTATTTTAAGGTTTGAGAGTGCTGTAGAAGATCTAATATATAAAATATTATATATTCACCATGAGCAGCTTCTTCACATACATACCTGTACGTGCTGTTCACAAACTCAGAGGTTTCCCCTTTGAGAGACTGGTAACTGACATGTTTACAGTTACTGTTATGTACATGCATAAAACCAGACACCACGACCCCAAATAGTTTCATAGCTATGTTCCTTACAACGGCTTTCTATTGACTGTTATATACAAATATATTTGTAAATGAGTTTTATTGATCTTTTACATTGTGAGTGCGACATGAAATGTTGCCAGGTGTTTGAATGACTGCTGAGCACAGAGTTATGAATATTGTTTAGACAGTGTATTTCAATGAATAAAAATAGGCATTAAACTATTTAGACCACAGTGCATTGCAAAATATTGACTTTGAACATTCACATTCGTAACTGTAAACAGGTCAATGGCCAAATGTAATGCTGTACATTAGAAATGAGGAAAATATTTTTTATAACTGTCATTTTCCTATGTTATCAGCTTCTCAAGAGACACACAAGTGGTAACTTAAAACTACTAACTACAGCAACATACCTATTGCACAGCATATTACAATGTCCCATTACTCTTTAGCTGCTTTTTAGTCTCTGTAACAAGCCAGCAGTGACAGGCTGTATATCATATATCAGGGCCGATTCTAGAATCTGCCCTGTAAGGGTGCTTAGGCCCCGCAGTTTCTGACAATGGCTCTTTGGCTTAAACAATGTGGTGGCCATTTGTGTCAAAAGCATTCATAATGTGTGTATGTGCGTGGGGGTGTGGGGTTACACACTTGTTGCGGGAGGTCTGGGGGTCCTCCCCCAGAAAATTTTGCATAAAGTAGATACTATTTGCTGCATTCTGATTAATTTTAATGGGTTTTAAATATCTATGTTTACCTACATAAGTAAACACTTGATCCAATAGCTATTTTAGAGTTAATGGAACAACAAGAAGTAGCGCTAAGCTAGCGACGTGCTATACAGATGCGCTAGCTAAGATGCTACAGACGTAGCACTCTGCTTTTTTTTATTCATTCAACCTTTATTTATACAGTAACCCACAGTGAGCCTCGAAGACTCATTTACAAGTGAGACCTGTTTAGACAGACAAAAGTAACAAAAGTGACGCATGTAAAGGATTTGGAGGTGAAAAAAATTCCTATCAAACTCTCACTCTCTGGCCGAGGAGAGAGAGCCTGATAGTGAAAAACCACCCTGCACATAGGCACATAATGATGCAGACATTCTGCAAGGGAGGAGAGATGACAAGAGAGATGATCGTGTTAAGGACACTCCAGAGGAACTGTAGGAGTTCTGATAAGAATGATACAGTCAGTTCCCTCTGCTGAGATCCATAAACACTCTCGAGGGGTGCCAAGGTCGACCTAGGACAGCACCAGAGAGAATCCAACAGTCCTGAAATGATGACAAAATGTGTATTCATCCAGGTCCCTCTGATAGGTCTGCAGACTTCCTCGGTGGGAGGGGAGGGGGCCGAGCATCAAATTTACAGGGCCTCCAGGCGAATTGAGATAAGGTGGCCTGTCAAGGCCAGTCGGGGAGCCGAATTCAGATCAGTAACGTTTGTTTTGGGAACAGGCAGAACTTTACTGATTCATGTCTGCCTTGAGTCTTTGCTGGTCCTCACAAATCCCAAATGTCCAAATTAAGTGGACACACCGCTAGTCCGTGCCTGAGCGTATTCCTCGAGATCTGATCCATCCTGCCTGTGAATCCTAGGGGTCGCAAGTGGCCTGCGATTCTCACAAATCACATCCAATTTGCGGTTCAATTCACAAGACAATTGAATCTGGGTGCTCCAGGCATGGAGCAAACCATCACATAAGGAAGGCATCCTGACAAGGGCCAGATTTGCTGCTGACAATTTCCTTGTTTGTTGATAAACCAGGAACCAGACAATTAAAAAAAACAGGAAACCTGTTATCATAAATCCAAATACAT